AAAGTGGAGGTCGCTCTACTAGAACATGGGGAAATTGGGGAGGTTTACGTGGGACATGTAGTACAAGCAACCGCCGAACGCGTAGCAACATGTGCCTATAAATACCTCCAAGATGAGAAAGGTAGTAGCTTCTTGAAACCCGAACTATTTGAATTCATATATTCACCCTGCTTACTTCCTAAAAATCGACTATTGATTCTCACGCCGGAGGTATAATGGGGAAAAAGCCCCGATCTCATTTTCCAGGTAGCGTACACTGATCGGAGTGCTCAGAACACCACACCCGTTAAGGTGAGCACGAAAGATAATCTCGCAACTATTTCAATATATATAGAGCATGTTTGGTGCGAATTACACTTGGAAAAAAGAGATTTTTGGTCCGTTAGGTATCAAAAGTGGCCATCCTTTTCAACCACTTGTGAGTGACTGGGACCTGCCAGCCAAAAGTAACGGTAAAAAAAAGGCAAAAAATGGAAGAGAAAAGCCGCACCAAACACGGCCATAGTAGCATGGCAAACATTTCACATGCAAGAAAAAGCATTTTTAAATTTATTCATAATCGACATAATTTCGTATACGATGCTCATAGTTCACATAATACAAGACCAAGTTAACTACAAAAAGGGAAATTCGGATAAGCAACATAATAAATGATCCTAAACAGACAACAACAAACTAAAACAGCCACAAGTTCTTACTCTAATTCGACTCTCATGACATCAAGAGTAAGCCACGAATGGAGTGGCAGAATTTATCCCGGAATTGAACAAAGTGGCAGGTGTAGGTGTGCTTGGCTCAAACCAGCCAAGTTTCTCAACGAGTATCTTGATTAGATCTCCCATTGCATAGGCAACACCAGAAACAGCAACTGCATTGCTGACATAGTACGAAATTGTTTTGAAGTATGCAATATATCTGTGTTCCTCTTTACAATAAGCCTTTCCAATTGAAAGTAGAATTATGCATACAAGAGAAGCTACTACAACTGCTATAATCGTGTAATCTTTATTGCCAGTCTTCTCAAATGCCAAGCCGTAAACTGCAGGAGGGATTAGGCCAGATAGAAGGAATGATAGAATGGCAAAAGTGAAATGGAATAGGAAGTTCTCTCTCTTGCCAATTAGTTCTTGGTATCTATCTGTTTGTTCATTTGAGTCTGGTACTGGACACTCATTCTTCATGTCCCTCAGCTGCAAATTTCACGGAAGTTTGACGATTAAGAAATAAAAAATATGTCAATGGGAAAATGTTGCCATAAATTATGAGCACAAGACAATACTAAGGTACTCGACAAAATATTCTCGTAACTTCAGTTGAAGGCTTGTCTCGCTACAAAGTGGCTAAAGTCCTAGAATGCTAATTCTAACAGGCCTTTTATAGTTCTTATGTTAGACCTTGCAAGCAATTCCACCACACAAACTATTCAATATTTAGCCCCCGTTTGAGCCCCAGTTTTGGGGGGAAATGTATTTTGGAATAGTGATTTTTTTTAAAAGAATATTTAGTTAACAAATAGGGAAAAATTTTGAGTTTACATGTAAAAAAATTTTATGGGAAAATGCGGCTCAAACAAGAGCTTACTAAAACAATCGCCATAGAAAATATAATTACTCACATTATGAGCAATAATGAATACTCCACTTATCACATTTGCCAATGCAAGAGCCACAATGTTCACTGCAACAAAAGTAACGTGTAAATAAAATCTACATTTTTTAGAAAGATCACTAACTACTTGATCTACAGTTGTAAATATTTATAGTGAAATACTTACTTGTGGCAGTTTCAGAAGCAGCTGCAGATGACACTATACTCAAGCTTGTGACTGATTCCACTAAACCTCCATAAACAATACTCTTTAGAATTTCTAATGATTTCGAACCATGTTCCAAGTATCCTGGCTCTGAAGGCCGAGGAAGGACTACAATTTTAGGACCAGCTCCTGCGATACGTATTGATAACTATTAAATGGAATAAATTATCAAGAAAACTAATTTCCTAGTGTAATTACCTTCACAATTTTCAGATTTAGTATATAATTTGATCCTGTTTCATTTCACTATCTGGTTTCCAGCATATGGTGTCTAATGACATGTCTTCCAAGTGTCAATATAAAAGAACTGTTTTGCTTATAATTCACATATTTTTATTCTAATATTTAGGAAATTGTGATCAAAGTAGTGTGAATAGTTGTCTTAAAACACCTATGGTTGTCTAAAAATACTCTTCTCATTCTGAT